GACTTGGAGGCACCCGACGAGGTGGATCCCGACATGGAGGAAGAGGAGGATGAGGCATGCAAAGCTCGAAAGAGGTTGGGTATGCCGGAGTACGACCCCGAGGAAAGCTTGCTCACAAGCATGCCCAAGATTCTGCCCCTGGTACGAAATTATGTGTACTTCCTGTCCAGGTACAAACAGTGTTGCTGCACAATTTCTTAGCCTGAACACTCCTGCAGACCCCCGAGTGCCGGAACCTTAGAGTAGCACGCCTTCGAAGGTTTCATTAAACTTATTAAACAACCTCAAGCCAATTAAGTGGCCAATTGCATCCCGCATTGACTATAAATCTCTAGAACCCCAAACCCCTAAACCCGAATCCCCTCCACCCCAAACCCTAAACCCCTATAAAGCCCCAAACCCCTAAAACCCCACACACCCCTAAAACCCCTAAACCGGCCAGGCCCAAACCAAAAAGCGCCGAAGTCATCTACAACATAGAGCCCCAATCAAGCACCTTTGGAGCCCAGGACCTCCATCGCGAAGCGAGTGAAGAAAATCCAGGCCTTGAAGGACAGGTTCGATGATGCTGTGAAGGCAGGTGTGAGACTCGACAAAGTTCAGGGTGAGCCACTCGTTCCAACATTTACGACTAGGTAGCACTATATAGATCTTGCTGAATGCTTTACTAGCGGCTACTAGCGGCACCGATAATACTAACCTCATCATATTACAGCCAGATCCAACTTAGGTTTGCTACAGCCATTGCCGCGAACCTCGATTCCATGGCGAAAGCAAACCAAAAGTTGTCCAACCTCTACAGTGCCGGTGTGGTGCACGGTTTTTCCAAAGAGTGCCTTGTCTAGATGGTACTACAACCGTGCTTTCAGTCTGAGCTTTGTAGCTGCTATCAGGAAAGTTCCGACGGCACAGGAGTACATCCAAGACTGCCTCGTTGTGCCCATGCCTTACGACATGTGTACTTTAGGATCGTGTAACGGGGCGAAGTAGGTTGAATACATGTGAGCACAGTGCATCTGCTGCTCAGGGCCACGGAATCCTTGGGACTGGAGACCCGGTCCAGGCACTCTACGTGTTGCACATGCTATATTCCGCTATAGCTACATATAAGGTTCCTATACGTCTTATAACGGATGTGCTAACCATATAGGGGATACAGGCTGTGAGAGTGAGAGAATGAGAGAGAGAGAGAAGGTGTGAGTCTGTATATGTTTGTTAGTCCAGCGGACCGTATCTCCCGAAAGTCCTCAATCTCTCTGTTTCTCTCCTTTCTCTCCCTCTTTGCCTCCCTCGCTCTCTCTCTTTCTCTCTCTCTCGATCCCCCTTCCGTCTCTCGCTCTCTCTCTGTCTTTCTCTGTCTTTCTCTCTCTCTCTCTCTCTCTCTGTTTCCTTGTGTGGGGGCCTCCTCTGCTTGTTGCTTTAGAAATGGTGCCAATGAGAGGCCCTTCCTGCCGAAAGCTGTGGTTCAGAAGCCGGCTGCCGGGCGACGGCAGGTGAAGGCAGACCCGAAAAAAGCCGCTAAGGCCAAGGCAACCCCGAAGAAACGGGCCGGTGTGGAGCTGAAGACTCCTGCGTCCAAGAAAGTCAAGAAGTGATTCTGGGCTTATGTTTGGGGTGCTGCTTTTCGCACTCGCTCAAAGTGAGCCGAGTGCGCCAGGTCCCCTAGATCGGTGAAACATTGTGCTGGAGGTGAGCTACCAGCTATATAGATCTAGAGACTGTACTGTTGATAAGGCATTAACTACATTCTGCTGAGCACAATCGGCATCGATGAAATTTGGTGCTGCTGAGCAGCACACTTGCACCTAGGTGCCCATATGGGCACAAATCATGTATGCTGCAGAAAGCACTATGGGGTCAAAGGTGTGCTGACAAAACATTGCTCTCCCATGTCAAGTAACATTTGTCTCGATGTGTAATTAGTAGATACTGAAGATTGATATAACAATGTGCCAGGTGAAGACCGCGACGATGGGGTTACGGGTGGTGACCGTGGCAACCGTGCTATGGCTTATGCCGAGGCTTTCTCAGATTGTGTCGGGTCCTCAAAAGTCACGATGAAAGTATAATGCCCATTTCATTTCTAAAGAACCGATGTGGTGGTATGAGTACCGGAAACCCAGGTTCCTGCAACAACCTTGCAGTCCTTGGCAGAGGCAGCATCCATCGACCAGCCATTCAGCCTGGGGCGGGAGAACAACAGTGATTCGAGAGCGAATGCATTCAGAACAGCGAGCAGATTCGTGAAGAGATGGGGCTTGCAATGGAAGATTCCAATATCAACTTACGAGCATAATGATGATGTTCAGGTTCCCTTCATTGCTCCAAGTGATATATTGTCACACTTGATAGGCAAGAGCCCCGAGCTTCTTTTCGGAGGATACACGAGCCCGGACAAAATCCGGGAACTGCTTTCCGACTTCTGGTGCTCTTACAGAGCATGGCATCCGACGCACGAGGTGTTTCGACATTCTTCCGAGGGCGACTTGGACCTTCGTCACACACTGCCCGTCTTGATACATGGTGACGAGGGTCGGGGAGTACGCAAGGGCAACATCGCTGTTTGTTCAATGGAAACACCATTTGGCCTTGGAACTCACGCAGAACATGTTCCTTGTGACTGGCCATGCTGTGACCCGAAAAAGGCAGATTCCTCCCCGTGTGCCTGGCAATCTGTGAATCTGAACTTTCACTCCTTCCTGACGAAGTACCTCCTCTTTTTGATGCCCAACAAGCTCTATAAGAAAGACAGTGTGCTTACTGGATTGCTCCGGGTTATATTTCTGCAACTTCGCTCCCTGTTTTTCGAAGGTCTAAAGATTGCTGGTCAATTTTGGCATGTAGCCGTCATCGGCTGCAAGGGAGATATGGCATGGTTTCTGAAGATAGCGGAATTGGATCGCAGCTTTGCACGATTGAGCAAAAAGTGTGATCAAATGTGCTGCCACGAGTGCCTGGCAGGTTGTACGGCAATGCCCTTCGAAGATCTGTCAAATCAACCGAGCTGGGCCCCATCCGTTTACGCAGAGCGGCCTTGGCTTCAGCCGCCTGCTAGTGGGCTATGTCTGGTACCGTTTGATGCCTCTTGCCCTGAAAAGATACTACGCCGAGACATTTTCCATAACCTCAAGGTCGGAGTACTGCAGGATTTCATCGCAGGGTCCCTGGTTGTGATAGCGGATTTTGGCTACTTCAATGAGGGCGAGAGTCACATCAACAACTCCATCGTCACCATTCTGCAGAGGATGCACGGACACTTCAAGTTGTGGTGTGCTGCCATGGGGAAGTCACCAAACTTGCAGGGCTTCACAAAGCAGTTTCTCAACATCCCGACAAAGAAACATTATGGCTGGAGCAAATCTAAAGGAAGTGATTCCGTTTTACTTGTGCAGTGGCTTTTGGTTCTCACGAAAGCCTGCGAGCGAGACCTGCGACGAGAAAGTGATCGTGGTATGCTGGAGGCCATCTACACAGCTGCACGTGCTGCAGATGATTGGCTAAAGCATATGTATGCTCACTCTTTGTGGTGGTCGCAGGACTGTGCAAGGGCAAGCTTGGAGCTGGGAACAAAGTTCATTCGGACATATGGCTTCTTGGCATACACAAGCCTTCACAAGTACAAGCTCTCCACCTATGCAATAAAGCCGAAGCTGCACATGTTACACCACAGCACCCATTCTCTTCGATGCGATTTGGAACGAGGTCTGAAAAAAATCCCTTCGTTACTTCTCGCAAACTGTGAGATGAACGAGGACTTCATCGGCAGGATTTGCCGAATGGGTCGTAAAATGCATCAGAAGAATGTATGCAGGCGAGTGCTCGAGATGTACTTGATCAAAGGGTATGCTTTGCATAAGCGGTTCTTAAAGAATGGACTCGGTCCCAATGGTCGCAAAAAGCGAAAGCGAAGCTGAGTTTCAGACGGATCGTGCCAGGCAGCCGTGGCGGTGCAAGCACGGAGGCATGTCTATTGTTCACATATGTTGGCCTACCCTGCTGCTGTCCTGGCCAGATCATTCCGGCTCTCTAATTTGTAATTCGCGAACTGCCTGGAATCTGAAGTGCCTCTCGCAAAAAGATGTCATGTCGGAGCCTGAGTGAGCGGATGTCTGAAGCGGCCCTTCTTAGTCAATCCAAAGCAGAAGCAACCCATCCCAAAGAAGCTCGAACTTGAAACCACCCATAAAAACCAACCAGAACTGAAACAACCAAAAAATAACAAAACAACCAAAATATTATGAAACTACTAAAACATTGGTTGTTCCAACAAACGCCTAAAATAATCGGCACCGGATCCTCTAGGATGGACTTTAAGGTTTACGGCATCTACCATGGACGCCCACGTAAGCATCTATGTTATTCCTCAGAATTCCATAGTTTATCTACTACAAAGGAGCCCAAAACCCTATTCTAATTGTCGAGACAATGATATTGATGCTTGTTAATTATGGTCTCAGGGTCTCATGAACCATGAACCCTAAAACCTATACCCTAAACATCACCGTGGTTCTTGTGAGATGGGAAGCCCTGCTTGAACAGGCTTAAAGGTTTTGGGTTAAGGGTTCCCACCTGAAAAAGAGGCAAAACGTCGGGAAGCCTTCCCAAATCATATCCAAAAGCCTCATCCTCAGACCTTCAAGAAGCAAACATCAAAGTCATCAACACATCCCTTCACACACCCTACCTTAACCCTGAAGAACCTACCCTTTCAAGGACTTGTATAAGGAAATCATAATAGGGAACCCTAAGAAGGTAGGTTCTTCAGGGTTGAGGTAAACCCTGCAGCCATGAACACCCAGTCCTCCAAAAAGCCATAGACCCGATGCTAGGCTGACCGGGACCCTGCAACCCGAAACTCTCAAAGCCCGGACCCTCCAAGTCCCAGCAGTTAGTTGCATTAAGTCTACATCCTGTACCCTGGACCCCAATTCTGAACCCTAAACCCTGTCCCTACACGAATCTAAACCCTCAAGTCAGCACAACTTGAGAAGCGGCATCAGGCGCCTCCACGAAAGCTTCGCCAGCCTTGGCCCGAGAAACTGTTTTAGGGCTTAGGGTTCAGGGGTTTAGGGCGGTGGAGTCTCGGGGCTTACGGGTTTAGGGTTTAGGGTTTATACCAGGACCCTCCTTGCACCCTCAAATAGGGGTATATGGTCCCAAATAAGGGGCAGTTAGGGTCTAATTGAGGGTAGATGGAGGGTCCATGTAGGGTCAGGGTTTAGGTGGAAGGGTCTAGGAGGTTGGGGCGTATGGTTTATGGGTTTGGGGCTATGGGGTTGAGGGTTTAGGATTTAAGCGGGTTTCAGGCTTCAGGGCTTGCCTTAGCCTCATCTAAACCTACCAAAGCCTGCTCTTCTTTGTAGTGGGGTTCCCATAAATCTTGGGCTTAGATGGTCTACCTGGATCCCAACAGTATGCAACATAGCAATCTCAATGCATTGAAGGCTCTAGGCGACGGTGGAAGAGTGTTGTCTGTACATATCGAGATGTCGAGCCCGGCACTCCGTCACATTTCCTCGCGAGCCCGAAGCCCCGACACCACCCTGCCAAAACGCCTCAGCATCACCGTGCTAGGCAGCAGGCTCGGCGATGTTTTTCCCAGATTTGTTAACCGCTTGCGTGGCAAAGAGGTCCTCGTGCCTGAAAGCAAATCGCTCGTCAGCTACGTAGCCCCTTATCGGGCTCGAGTTACCTACATGTTACATAGTAGGTTACTAAAAAAACCACATAATGCGCAACCAGGGAACCTATTCTCTAGGTACCCGGAGACCTCGGGGTCGAGGTATTGTGAAGAGCGCGAAGACGAAAAGCGCGGACGCATTGCTGTGACCCGAAGTCCATGTCAATCGGCTGGGAGAGATCCGGAAAGATGTGCTCCACAAGGGCTGGCTCGGGCATTCCAACGCACGTGATGAAACGAGATTAGATTGACAGGTCGAAACCTACGGTTTGCTGTTGGTCTGTCCTGTTGAGGTTGAAGTTTAAACACCCTGATCCCTAAATCCCACGTCTTAGCCTGGAGTTTGTATATGCCCTTTTACTGACATGCAGAGGATCATGGAGAGTTGGAGGTGCCCTGGTATGTAGCCTGTACCGACGCAGAGGCCAGACCCTACATCAGCCACCCTCTATCCCAGCCGCTCTAACCCCAAATGATTAATTACCAAACAGAGTCCTACATCCTCTAAGGCCTGGTCCTACAGCCTAAACCCTGAACCCTAGTTTCGCCCCATGTAAGTAGGCAATCGTATTAAGGATCCCTAAAATGCCCTAAAAACAGAGATTCTTCTTGCTAGGGTCCAGGTAATCCCGAAGCCTACGCCTCAAAGGTCCGGAAAGTACATAGGCCCCTAAAACCCCTAAACCCTATAACACCATCAAGCACCCTAACCTCCTTAAAAACTCCTACAAAGGGATCCCTCAAATACATCCCAAGGCAGGAGAGCCGAGCCAAGAAGTCGCAGGTGGAGGCTCCGGCCTTTAAAGGAGGTTTAGTTTTGGGTGTTTTTTTGGTTTTCGCGTTTCAGAGTTCAGGGTTCCAGGTTTAGAGTTTAGGGTTTAGTGTTTAGGGTTTGAGGTTCAGGATAGGATTCGGATCTCGAAAGAGTCTTCAGTAACGTAGTGTTCTTGTAGGGTACCTAAGCTTGTTGCAAAAATTCCGTTACCCTATTCGTGTTTGTTGGGTAATGGGGGGTTTTCTGAGGATTCGGGTGTGGGGGCTGTTTCGTGTTCATTCAACAGAAGCAGGGGCTTAAAGGTTCCAGTTCAGCAGGTTTCGAGCTTACGTTGCATAGGCTAAGGGTGTCGGGTTTAGGAGGCCTAGCACACTTAGGAAGGAGGCTTTGGAAACTATAGGTTTGTGGGATAGTATAAAATCCGATTCCTATGCTCTAGACAGGACCCCCCCCCCCAATGCAGGCAAACCCAGAAGCCTCAAACAGTTTTGTCCCTCGCAACGCCCGAAACCCGAAATCCCAAGCCCTAATCCCTCATGAGATACGCAGGCCTCCCAACCGGTCAGAGTCCCTGATGATGGTCCTTAATGTAGATTCAGAGGTAGATATTTATGTAAGTATGTTTGTGTGTATGTATGTATGTATGTACGTATGTATGTATGTATGTATGTAGGTATGTATAAATAATCAAATGTTATATATATATATATATATACACATACTTATAAATACACACTCCGAGGCCAGTATATACTGCAAGCTATGGGCACGCGGACCCATAGAGGGTCAAGAGGCCAGAGTGGAACATTCGCAGGCATCCTATGGCGTGGACTCCGTCTGGGGTGACCGGAAAGGCAGGCTGTGACATTGATTTCGTTTTGGGTTAGGGTTTAGGGCTTGGAGAGCAAAGATGGGGCTTTCCTCAACATTCCGGATGCCCTCACTAGACGAGCTAGGGGAAGGAGCCCTGTGCATCTGAAAGCGTCATACCTTCATTGAGCTCTTGACCCCCTAAACTTCTAAACCCTGGGACTAAACCCCACTGCCTGACCTCCCCTACACTCGCTTGACTTGGAACAGGAACCCTGGCCGCACGACGCCGCCTGCTGAACCCAGCTCTTCGAAGCTTTGCAGCAGTCCGGCCCTTACCGTTTTTCCCTACGACGGTGGTAGAGACGACAAGAGTGCTTTGCTGTTAAAACTTTACAGATAATACGACAGGTGCGACGATGAGTTCTTTTACTGCTTCCACTACTACCACCTCCACTCCCACTGAGCCCTGAACTTGTTGACTCCAAGCCGCCCCCAAAGTCGAATACAGGGGCCTCCATAATTACCTGTATTGTTTTGGGGGTTCCTTATCATATTTATAGTATAATGGCCACATTTTTGAACCCTACTGCCCTACGATAGATCCCTTGTAGACCCATTTAAGGAACCCTAAGGAGGCCCTATATGTGACTTTCAAGAGGCTCGCTCCGACGACGTGTGCATTCTCTGGACCGGCCGTGCTGGTTGCGTAGTGCTGGCCTCAGTCCTGTAATTTCGGGGCCTTCATAATGAGAAATAGGGCTCCTTTGGGTTCCTTGAAGGGGCCCATAAGGAACCTATAGTAGGGTATAAGGGCTACTATAAGGGTTCTGGGTTAGGGGCCTTAATAATTAGAATAGGGCTCCTTAGGGTTCCTTAAATACAGGGCTCTATAATGGATCTATAGTAGGGTTCTATAATATGGGGGGGCCCTAATACTTGGAATAGGGTTCCCTTCCATCCGTGCCGTAAACGGGTGCTATATGGGATCTATAGTAGGGTGGGTTCTATAGTATGGGCCCCTTAACAGTTCGAAATAGGGTTTTGGGGGCCATTATACTGCAATTTTAATAAGGAGCCGCCAAAATAGTATAGGTCATAATTTAGGCCCCTACAGTAGGCAGGAGGTGCAGCGTGCATGTGTGTTTGTCATTCTCGTTGTCGTGCTTGTCGGGTGTTGTTTCGCTGTCTCTTCGTTATTAGTGTTGCCGTTGTTGTCGCCGTGTTCGCGGTTCTTGCTGTTACAGCTATGCTTTGTTGTGTGTGTTTTTGCTTTTTGCTGTTGGTGCCGCTGCATTTGCTGTTGTTGTCGATGGCTGTGCTCGCGTTGTTGAAACTGCTGTAATGAGGACGCAAAGGATATTTATGATGCTGTTGATGCATTTTTTTTGCGGGACTGCTGCTGCTGTTGTTGTTGGGCTTTCGAGTATGGGGAGCTCCAGATTTAGAAACAAAAAATCATACTGACCTGTGTCTATAACACTAAACCCTTATGCTGCCAGGTCAAGGGGTCGACGAGGTGTCCTGATTTCAGCACGTTCCGGGGGTCATAGCCCTGTTTATAGAGACCTGGTCGTAGAGTAGGTAACCTTTAACTTATAAGTTGGAGCTTGTAGAGGCCCAACCGCTTACAGCAAATCCTGACTTGTTGCAACAGTTTTGTTTTCTGTTTTGTCCTGGCTGCATGGCTCCTTCCCAGGAAGCACTGGAGGAGTGCACAGGCACGTCCCGCGTTCTCCTGCTTCCGCAAACCTGCGAATGACCTTACAGCGGGTCTTTGCAGATACCATTGGGGCTTAAACAAACACCTAAACTATTTTGGGGGTTCCTTATCACATTTGTAGTATATAATATAATGGGCTCCCAAACCCTATTCTAACCATTAAGGCCCCTTTGTAGAAGTCGTTAAGACACTGCCAGTAGATTGTCGCAGGCGATGCGATAGGGTCAGTGTAGACCCTTAACCTAGCTCCGTCTCTAAGCCATCGCTCTAAGAGCCAGGGTCCTTATGCATTTTCGGAGACTAGAGTTGCAGACCAAGCATGAGAGAGGTCTAGAATCTTGACAATCTACCTGGACCCTCCATCTACCCTCAATTAGACCCTAACTGCCCCCAATTTGTGACCATATACCCCTATTTGAGGCTACAAGGAGGGTCCTGGTAAACTCCCCAACTTAAGCCCGAAAAGCCCTCACGCGTGCCGTAAGCTTAACCCCTGAAAGGCCATTCTTCGGTGCAGGCTTTTAGGGCTTTAGGGATTTAGGGTTTAGGGTTTAGGGTTTTAGGGTTTAGGGTTTTAGGGTTTAGGGTTTAGGGTTTTAGGGTTTAGGGTTTTAGGGTTTAGGGTTTAGGGTTTTAGGGTTTAGGGTTTTAGGGTTTAGGGTTTAGGGTTTTAGGGTTTAGGGTTTTAGGGTTTTAGGGTTCAGGGTTTTAGGGTTTAGGGTTTAGGATGTATAGTAGGCTTTCTCGTGCAGAGGTTTGGCTTTAAGAGTTTTAGTGCTCAGGGTTTAGTATGCGATGGCCTCTTTTGGGTTAAGGACTTAGGGTTTGCAGGGATCTGGGTTTTTGGGTCTTGGGGGTTGGTTATGAGGGACCAATACAACCTCCGAGTTGGCTCAGTTCCTTGAAAGTTTTCTGCTCAGGTTCGCTCCAGAGAAAGCCCTAACCCCAAGCCCCCAGTCACTGAAACCTCTAAACCCCCAAACACCTAAACCCCAATCCATGAAACCCTCAGCCCTCGACGCCTTTGCCGGCGCAGGACCCGACGTCCCTGCCAAGGCGCGCCGGTCCAACTCCTTAAACGAACTGTGCAGGGACTACCCTATTCTACGGGCAGAGTATATGCTGCACTCTACGAACAGAGTATATGCTGCATAGGCACATGGACCCGTAGCGATTGTGACGAGGGCATCGTCGTCTGTGAAGATGGATTCATAGAGCTGCTGTACGATTTGAGGTTTCGTACTCTGATCTGCAGTCTGTTTTTTGTGGAACTTTTTGTTCAGGGTGTATAGGGTTTAGCAGGGCAGGCACCGTAATTCAGGCAGTCGAGCTTGTCTTACAGGTTGTGCACTCTCCTGTTGAGACCGACGACGGGAGCCCGCTTTTGTCATTGACGTGTGCAATCACTAACCGTCTCACTTCACATGTTCTTAGTTTGCTTGGAGGTTCATGGGACTTAGCAAGTACAGTTGCAAGTACTTTAACTGGGGTTATAATTATGAGTGATGATAGTTACCACCCTAGCTACTAAGTCCCGTGAGCCTTTATGTGCAGTGTAGCCCGGCTCAAATTGTTTGTTTGCCCCTGTGGATACGAAGCATATGACATGGCTTACTCGGTGGGCGTTCATGAAACAGCGGCTTACCTGCAGAGCTGATCAAACATGGGAGCCGGAATGGTCAGTGTCAGTGTGATAACACTATCCCTTAGGCTAGCTTCCAAGAGGGTCCATACATACTACCATTATGGAATTAGGTCACCGAAAACATCATGGCGATGGTCTTTTGGGACCTAATTCCATAATGGTAGTATATATGGACCCTCTAAACTTATCATGTCTTAGTATCGCGCTATACTATAAGAGAGTTTTCTGCCCCGCCGTGTTCTAGTTCGTAAGGCCTTCATATTACAAGGTGTGGAACTTATCCGTGCCTGTTGTTCGACTTTTCGTGGCTGGATCATACCTTCAACTGTGAACCCTTAGCAAGGCCTAAACTAGGGCCTAAACTAACTCTAGACCCTGAGCCCAAACATATCACTCAGTCTCGGCTAAGGTTGGGAGTGAAAGAGGATTAGGTCCGGGTTCTGTGCAGCATGTAAGGCTCAAGTTTTCAATCCAAGGCTTTGGAGATTTGAGGCTACGCAGAGGCCCCATAATTAGTAGTTCCTTTCTGGGATTACCTCATAAGATGCTACATATAAACCCCAAAGAGGAGCTACTATGGGGCCTTAGGCTAGTTTCAACCTAAACCCTGGACTCGAAACCCTAAACCCGAAAACGCTAAACCCTGGACCCGAAACCCTAAATCCTAAACCCGACATCCCTCAACCGTAAGCTGTTTCAGCTCCAGGGTTTAACTAGGATCCCACAGTAGGCCCTGGTTCCCTTTTTAGGGGTTCAGGTTCCCTTCTAAGCCCCTTTAAATCAAAAAGGGAGCCCTTCTTCTAGTCTTGGGTCTAGTCAATGTGGTGAAGAGTCGAGGATGCTCCGGATTCGTGGCTTTTGAGGGCTTCTGGAGCTTAGCTTCGGCAGCTGTTACCTCTGCAATCCAGGATTTAAAGTGAGTGTGTGTGTGTGTGTGTGTGTGTGTGTTTGCTGTTGTTGCTGTTCCTTTTGACACGTGCTTCGGTCTGGTGTTTTTTACGGCTATTCAGTATGTTGCTTTATCAAGTGGTCTATCGGAGTTCGGATGGTCAGGTAGAAACATATCACTAGGTAGTATTAGGGAGACCCCTTAAAGGGGACCCTCTTAAACCTACTTCCGGCTCTCTTAAAGGTTTCTCACGATGGTCAGGCAACTCGGCCAAAACACGATCAGCAAGAAAACATAACTTCTGCTGGATGGCTAGAATGGCAAAGCAGTTCGCAAGCTGCCAACATGCCTCTTGTGGTTAATAAGAATAACAGTCATAGCAATACTTAAACAAAAAACGTTAACAGTAATACTACTTACTACTAATGATAATGATTTGCCAGCTGTAAATAGCAGGCACTGAACTTATCAACCGCAATCCCAAAACCCCCCAACTGAACACCTTATAAACAGTCTTGACAACCCAAGCCCCCAAAATCCGCAAAACCCAGCGATGTTAGTCGGGGGTTGGAGTCCTCGTGGGTATACGGTTTAGCAGCTCAAATAGTTGGTCATGACATTCTCTTTATACCTCAGCATACCCCAAACAAACCTTTTTCTACTCATTGAGTTCCCCATTGCCATTGGACCCCTATAGAAGCCCTCACCGCAGCTTTGTGTAACCTCCGTAGAACGCGCTCGAAGGCTCCGACAATCAGGGTTTAGGGGTTGACCCGATAAACCCTAAACCAAAAAAGCACATTAATGGACCACAGAGGTGAGCGACATGTATACAGACCTCGAATGTGACCTTCCATCCGCGCCCTGGCAGATTGGTATCTGGCTGCCCTTACGGTTGATGATATAAACCCTGCAAACCCCCACAATAAGGAATATACCATAATTCCCAAGTTTAGTGTCCTTACCTGTAGCCGAAAAGACCTACCGTTTCAAGGAACTGTATATAGAAACCATAATAAGGAACCCCAAAAAGGTAGGTCTTTTCGGCTACAGGTAAGGTAGTGCAGGATTTCTATCATCAACAGTAGTTCTGGTATTCAGGGCTCACGTTGGGGTTGAGGGTGTTTAGCATGTACAGTAAAAGCCAGAAAGTTGGAATATGATTATCCTAAACCCTTTATGGTAAATTATAGGGTATCCTACCATGAAACCATATTCCAACTTTCTGGAGTTCCCTGTAGGGGTTTAGGGTTGGGGTTCAGGGTTTACAGTTGAATTCAGGTTCTCAATGTTTGGACAAAAGTAGGGGACGGGGCGCGTAGTTTAAGTGTCCTCTGGGTTTCATTTAGTTGTTTTCGGTGGGATTGCGAGAAGTGTTGTGAGGGCATCGAATGTCAGTTCTGCGCTTTCCCTGTGCTCTGCTTTCTTGCCAAGATTATATTCATGAGGAAGCTGAATCTCTGAACCGCGTCTCGACATTCTGAACCATCCTATCTTGAATCTTCAGCAACTCCTCAAGTTTGAGAGACGCTCGCATAGATTCCGAACCCGAAACCCATAAGGGAGTCAGGTCTATTTGGAGCTGGGTCCGTGTCAGAGACAGCATTGAGCATAAAGACGCGCAAAACTGTCATGAAGCAAGCACCACAGCTCAGGTACTATCATACTACACCCTACCACTAATTAGACACTGTATGAGTTGGCAGTAAGTGGCAGTAAGGATGGCAGTAAGGATTCCGGATTCGGGTCTGAGTGTGTTTGGACTTTGGGGTATGTAGGCCCCTCCTTTGCTACGGACTTACCCAAGGTCTACAAGCTGGGCTTAGGGTTCACCACCGTGTTGTTGGAGTTTGGAGCGTCATGTTGATGTTTGAGGGGTCAGGGTTTGTTGTCAGTGCGAACTCCCGGTAAGAACCCGGTACGCAAGTGTCTATCTCATCACCACAAGAGCGTCCCCCTCCCAAACGCATGCCAGCCGCCGAAGGACAGCGAGGATGAAACTCATCCCGATCGGCTTGTGGAGGACCTTTTCTCCTTGGAAGCCAAGTAGTCGGTTCAGGGGCTTAGGCTAAGGACTTTGAGGGTTTGCGGTTTATTTATGACTTCAGTTGATGCTTGAACGAGGTGACCAGGCAGCGTTTGGGTCTAGTTTTGTCCGCATGTTCGATCCCCCCTTCAAAGCATGGACAAAGGATGTAGATATCTAATTTGGTAGGAGGGTAGAGTGTAGGTTCTATGTTGAGATAAGTACCCCATTTGCGGCTATCCGAGTGTTCAGGGTTCAGAGTGTGGGGTGAACGCTAGCCACTCTGAGCCGTAAACCTGGTACTTTCAAATTTCCTTCCCCCCAACCCTAAACTCTACACGTTGACTCAAAATACTCTCCGACAGACTCCAAAAACCCTTCAATCAAGGAATACACCTTCAGCCATACGAGGGATCCTATTATATCTTAAGGTATATTCCTTATTTAGGGGGTTTTGGAGTCTCTGGGCTCTTTCAGCAGAGATGGCCGAGGTCTGCAGCACAACCGAAAATCTCGAGGAGCCCTTCAATTCTTTGTGCATATATATACATACATACATACATACATACATACATACATATATGTGTATGTATACGTGTGTGTGTGTGTTATCACATCAGTGATTTTTGCTTACATACAGGAGGTTTCCTGCATCATAATTCCAAGAAGATATGCATGCGTATGGTTTGGAGGCGTCCAGACTTTGACCAACATGTGCTAATCCGAGGATTCAGCATCTCCACGTTGACCATGGGGTGTTCTAAACCAGGGCATCCTTCCAGGTGCATAAACTCTATTTCGGGAAGCGAGTGTTGCTGGCATGGATCGGCAGCAGACTACCCCGTCTCGAAAAATTGCAAGTTCCTGGTTTGGGCCCCGAAAAAAGTCTACGGAACGACCAGCTCGGCGCAGTGTTTATACCTAAATTATTATAAATTGTACAAGTCCGCACTTGACAACCGTAGCTCACGCAATAATGGGATCCTCGAACCCCATCGCGCAGGATGGGGAAGTGAGCGCGAGGCTACTGGCTGACTTGCAGCATGTCTTTCCAGTCATTGACGCCTGGCACACGACCTGAGACGGGGGGTACTCGCAGATCTCTGTGGTTTGCACTGCAGAGGTGTCCTTGACGTCCGTAGGATCCCATCCAGTGGCGACTCTCTTTTGTGCATGGCTAGACGAGAACAACTTCGAACTGCTACTCTGGTACTAGAACTATAGTACTTGTACTCCTCATAGTACAAGTGTACTAGGACCAGTACTAGTAGGGGAAGAAAAGGGGCAGAAGCATGAGCAGGGCTAGGAGTAGCAGTGGCGGTGGCACTGATAGCGATAGCAGTCGCAGTCGCAGTCTCAGACCCCCACTCACCCGAGACACTGAGGAACGTCGGGCGGGTGAGCTCGGGCTCCTCGGCCCCTCCGATAGTCTCTCGGCACGCACTTACAATTTTTAGGTAGACCCTGGGGATCAAAGGCGTCAGGCCATTAGGGGG